GCACACGCACACGCACACGCACACGCACACGCACACGCACACGCACACGCACACGCACACGCACACGCACACGCACACGCACACGCACACGCACACGCACACGCACACGCACACGCACACGCACACGCACACGCACACGCACACGCACACGCACACGCACACGCACACGCACACGCACACGCACACGCACACGCACACGCACACGCACACGCACACGCACACGCACACGCACACGCACACGCACACACACACACTGACGCACACACACACACACAAACACAAAGACAAAGACACAAACACACACCAACACAAAGACACAAACACACAAACACAAACACACAAAGACAAACACACAAAGACACACACACACACGCACACGCACACACACACACACAGACGCACAAACACACACACAAACACACAAAGACAAAGACACAAACACACAAACACAAACACACATAAAGACACACACACACACGCGCACACACACAAAGACACACACGCGCACACACACACACACACTCATGCCCCCCCCTCCCCAGAGAACAAGTCGCACACCCCCCAACATCACATATCACCCGCCCAAAGCAAAAGTGACGGCGCCTTGAGGAGGGGATCTTCGCCGTCTTGGTGTGCCGCGCCGTCATGGGCAAAATGAATTGCACCAAAGAGGACCCCCAGGTGCTCCGAGCGGGCCATCGATGATCCACGGGGGCGGACGGGGTTCTGAAACGGGCGTCGGTGTCTTTGGGAGTTGCCCAAAAAAGCACTCAGAAAGGGTATCCGTCAAAAAGACAGACCCACATATTGCAAGCAAGGCAGCGAAGACACCTTCTGAGCAGCTTGGTTTGCTGTGATTTACTATGATTTTGTGGTGGGGTATGGTTCGTTCACTACCAACTTCAAAAAAGACACCATTTTGGGGGAGCCTTCAAAACCACCACCACTACACTAGAAACAGACACACCGAATCACGTTGCAACTCGTGACAGGCGGCGGAGAAGGTGAAGAAGGGCATTTATGACAGCACCTGTGGTGACAGACTCTTTGCAAGCAACGGCGACACCTGCTAGAACACGTTGTTGTACGCAACCAGTTGGGTAAAACAAGAACACACTACAGGCATGTTAAAGTCATACTGTTGACCCAGTTGATCAAGAAACCCGTTGATTGTAAGAGAGAATCGGGAGCACCATTGGGAAACATCCCCCATCTGCCAACAAGCATGTTTTGGTTGCGTTGAGTTATTGTGTTGCCTTCTATTGTTGGGTGGGTGGGCGCTGCAACAAGAGTACGCTTGTTGCGCTCACCTGCCTCGCCTGACTAGGTGTGAGGAGGCCAACCCCAAGGTGCAAGTTGTAGGGCGCCTGAGGGTGTGAACGGGCTGACAGTGTGGAGGATTCTGATTGCGTTGCTGCTTGCTTCACGCTGCGACCCTGGACCGCATAGAGCGGCTTTTACAGGTCCTTATCCGCCCTCCTTGGCTTGACATGTTGCCCGAATAGTGGTGACACATGGTTCCGCACTTGTGCGCTTGACTCAAGGCGCAAGAGCCAATTCGGTTTTCAAGGGGGAAGGGGCCAGAAGTATATCGACATGCATATCTACATGTGTATGCATATACTCATATATTCATACCGCGCTACTCGTAAATTCACACCGCACACACACATATATATATATATATACATATGCCACTTTGTGGGTGGAATTTTTTGGAGACCGGGCAAGGAACCTTCCGAGAGCTTGTGATCTACGACCCTCGGCAGTGCTACCCCGAGTATGTGGTGCTGTACCAGCGGGTTTACGCCGGAGATGCTCGGCTGGGCTCGTCGCTTCGGGCCCGAACCATCCACCCAAGGATGCCCCCGCCTCGTGCCAGGTGCAGGGGGATACATCTATATATGTACATAAACATGTGCATATGTATACATGTACATATTATATACGGATATACCTATATGTCTATATATATATATATTTATATATGTGAAACCCAACGTTCGTAATTATAAATGGGGGCAACAAGCCTTAGCAACAGAAGGCTCAAGCAGGCCTTGCCGGTTTTGGTGACGAGGGTTTGTTGGGGAGATTGGTTGCGAGTCCCTGGAAGCTGGACGGAGCGCTTCGCTGCAAGTGAAGCCACCGTGGCTGAAGGCGAAGCCGAAGACCCTTGAAGCCTGGAATGAAGATGCGCTTCCATTCGTTGAGCCCTAAGGGTCCCTACTCTTAGGATGAATTTTGAGAGCAAACAGGAGCACAAAGTAGATTCTTGGAAGGCACCTGGGCCTTGAGGGGAAGGTATTGTTTTTCCCCTGCTGGTTTAAAGGGAAGTTGTCTTACATCATCTGCTTGATCTAAACTGATAGGGCGGCTTTGTTTCGCTCTCTCTCTCTCTCTCTCTCGTTCTCTCTCTCTCTCTCTCTCTCTCTCTCTCTCTCTTTCTCTCTCTCTCTCTCTTTCTCTCTCTCTCTCTCTCTCTCTCTCTCTCTGAAACCTATCGTCGAGCCCCAGCAGAGGGGTACCCACAAAAAGGAGTTTCCTCTAGACCATTGCATCTTTCGCTGGGATCCGTTGATTTCAGGTCAACTTAAGATTGGGCGGCATTGACACTATATAGGGAGCTTGTTTTCCCCAGGATGCGAAGGCGGAGGCGGAAAAGAAGGAGCGCTTCTTTATGCAGGTGCCTTTGAGCTGGAGGCTGGCTTTGATGCCTCATGCCTAGAAAGCGGCGGGGGGGGGGGGGAGGAATGTGGCCCTAGCGTGGATCGACTCCCTGTATGACCACCCATTTCTCACGTGCCCGAAGCCAACCTTTTGACCTCCCAGTTTTGGTCCATTTTGAGTCATGGCCCCACAATGTGGGGTAGATCTTGGTTGAGGACTTGTTAAGGAGCATCAAGCCACTTACCTAGCGGGGCGGCCAAGCAGGCCATCAAAAGGGTACTGCACCAACCGGGAGAGGAGCCGCGCGGAATCCACGGGAAGCAACATCCAAAAATCTGCTTCTAGACAAGCTGGTCCGGTGCCAAATAGCAACGGGCTCAACCACGTGCCTCACGAGCACCCATACACACTCCTCATATGTATACACCCCACACCATAGCCACGTTTGCAGAGTGTGTGGTTCCCAAGCGCCAACCCCACCCACTCCTTGGCAGCAATCCTTGGCGGCACCCCGATCCGATGGTCCCCGCAACCCCCCACCCCCCAAAAAGTCGACAAAGGTCTAGGCCCGTGGGTATTCACACGGCGTTTTCGCAATATTGAGCCACCAAGGCGAAGGCCAAATCCGAGCGACTCAGCCCGCAGCCCGCCTGCCAGGCATGTGGCCACGGATTTGACCAAGGGCTTTCAGCAGGAGGCGATGCTGCCAGGCGAAGGGTTGGAGCTGTGGAGCGAAGCAGAAGCAGAGTTCGAGTGACTCAGAATGTTGACCCCGGATTTGTTTAAACCCTTGATTCTGAATTTGGGGATGGCGGCCCCCTCCAGAAGTGGTCTGAACCCTAAACCAGGGACGCCATGTGAATATCCAACGTTTAGTAATCCAGGGTCAACATTACATTCCATTTGCTTAAGAATTGTTTTTGTTATCCCTGTTGGTTTTGAAGGGGTCTATACTTGTGGCTTGTGGCGTTTTAGATTAGGCGGTTCCCAGCCATCCTTGACAGAGTAAAAGTAGATAGTACAATTCTCGGTAGATGCGGGTAAGTTGTTTTGGGATGACTTGGGAAGCAATGCGGTTCTACCTTCTCCCACCCATAGACTTAAAGGCAACTTTCGCAAGGCGCCCTTTGCTAGAACCACCTGGAAGTCCTCTGGGTTGCGTCCTGTGATCACTTGTCACAGCCCAAGTGCCCTGCCAGTCAATCGGACCTAGGATCAAACCCCTCCTCTTCCCTGACCCTCTTTTCCCTGCTTCTTTTTTAGCTCGTACTGCGGATGGACAAAATCCGGCACCAGATTTCATCCACGCCAGCTGGTGCGGGACTTTTTGTCCTTCCTACGAAGTAGCCGTCCGATCCGCTCCCTGAGAACCGGGGCGCTTGTACATGCAGTGCGTGCGGACCTCGGGCGATCGGGAGTCGAAGCTCTCGCATCGAGGTTGGTTGACCCGCCTATGACTTATGGACCCGATTGTGTCGTTTCAGGTGAAGTGAGGTGTGCTTGTTCTTGGGCTTCTTTGTCTGCCAAGCGAAGGGTTCACCTTTTTGCTTTGCCCGCCCCTGAAGCAAAGCCGAAGCAAGCAGCAAGTCCATAGGAAAAGCCTTCAGCCTGTGCCAGGTTCAAGTCCCGCGATGAGACTCTTCCTTTTTCTTTGGCAAGAGACGTTCCCGTCCGGGATCCCTTCAGACGCGACCGGGTCCGAGGTGGTGAACCAAGCGGAGATCTCGCCCGCCCGGGAGGTGAGGCAAGTCATGAGACTGGAAGATGCCAGCCTTTGGGTCCGATATGCCTCTTGGCAAGGGGGGAGCCAGGTAAGGTTAACCCCATATTAATCAACCCCAGTTTTGTTTGTACGGGGGTGTACCTGGGGTGTAGTGGGGAGTCATCACTTTTGGAGGGGACACCCCCCATTAATGAATGGGGTTGATTAATATGGGGCCAACATTAAACACACAGAGATTGAGTCCCGCGTTCCTTGCTTTGCTCGCATGGCTTAGAGCTTGCTTTATGGGCCTCCCAAACTGTTAGACTGGCGTTGCGAGGTACTTTTAAAGCCTGAGAAGGGCGCGGGGAAAACTTGCGGCATGGGTTTAGGCCTCTTGTCTTGTTGTTTGTTGGAATCTGAACGGTCCGCGGCTTCCAGCAGCTTATCGTCTACCAGGAGGCTCTCTCGTTTCTTGTCCCAAACCGGTTTTTAGCGGCCTGTTATTTGTTGACAAAGTCTGAACTAATTTCCCGAGCCTGCCGACCCTCAGTCCAAAACAGCACTTGCTTGGTAAATTCTGGAAATTAAATACCCCGGTTTTTCAGTGGCAACCTTCAAATCCTTTCTTGTGTGGTGGGTTCTCGTCGGCAAGGCGAAAACTGAAACGCCAACTGATGAATGGTTGACCAGCCTCCCCCTAACAATGCTGAAAGCGAACCAAGCACATGAGGGCCTTAGCAATTGCGAGGGGGCCTTTAAAGGGTACGATGACACCAAGCTATCTCAGACCTCAGAACCACAGGGCAATGATTGATCGGTTGTTACTTTAGAGCCTCCGGCTCAGTCCGCCGACATTGTCCTCTCCCTTTTCTCCTTCTTCCTCTCTCTCTTGTCTCCTCCCCCGTGTGTTCTGTCGTCCTCTCTCTCCTCCCTCTGCTCCCCATCCCCCCCATCCCCCCAAGCCTCTCTCCTCAATCTCCCTCTCTCTGTCTCTCTCTATCTCTCTCTCTCTCTCTCTCTGTCTCTCTCTTGCTCGCTCTTTCTCGCTGTCTCCCTCTCTCTCTCTCTCTCTCTGTCTTTCTGTGTCTCTCTCTCTCTGTCTCCCTCTCTCTCTCTATCTGTCTCTTTCTCTGTCTCTTTCTCTGACTCTGGCTCTGTCTCTGTCTCTCTCTCTCTCTCTCTTTTTTTTTTCTCTCTCTCTCTCTCTCTCTCTCTCTCTCTCTCTCTCTCCGCATTGCAGCGTCACGTCCCCCCCTGAGTTGCCTCGATGTCCGGGCACTGCCCCTTCATGACCCTGAACTGTCTGCTTACTACTGGCTTTCCCCTTGCTTGCCCCTTCATGTCCTGTTCACGTTTCCCACGATGTCCTGGTCATGTCCCTTCCATTCCTTTCAACTCCCCCTTCATGTCCCTGTATTTTCTCGGCATGTCCGCTTCATTTTCCATGCATGTCCCGTTCTTTCGTTGCGAGTCATTTCCCTACATCTCCCGTTGTACCGATTGGTTTCCTTGTCCTTTGTTTCCCTTTCATCCCCCTGCGCTCCCCTTGTTTTCATTTCTGTCCCTTTCATGTCCCTTTCAGTTTCCCGCTGTTCTCCTGTCATTTCCCCTTTCTTTCCTGCCATGTCGACTTCCTATTTCCTCCCCTCATTTCCTTGCACTTCCTTGCATTTCCCCTTTGCTCCCCACTATTTCCCGCAAAAAAACAGAAAACAAAAAACATTTTTCCGGCGTTTTCGCAAAGAGGACGTCCAGATTTCTGCAAAAGGAGACAGGACACCCAAACCAGCAAAGAGCCGGCAGGGGGATTCGAGCCTGGGACCCCTTTTTGCGACATTGGCTCTCCGAAGGCTACGTTTAGTGGAACGTCATCAAATTACCGCGCGGTACGTGGGGGAACCCCCCTAAACCCTATGTATTAGACGTCGGGCGCAGAGGGGGTCACGCCTCCACAATGTCGGCGGATTTATCAGCGTTGGGATGGTTTGGACAAAGTCCGTGGCTTCGCTGAAGCGGCAACACTTCCAACAATGGAAGTGGACAAGTGGCCTCAGCTTCCAGCAAAAGAGGGTATTCCGCCTTTCTTGGATGACCCCACTCGGCTCATACCCATTAAGTCACCATGTTGAATTTACTCTTCACATGTTTGCAGTGAGTCGACATGCTGGTTAATAGCCCCTGAACCGCATTGATTGCTGACAGACCCTGCTGGCTTTTTGGCCGGGCAGACCGTCAGACCTGAGGTCTCTTTCAAGACGGAGCTGAGAAAGCGCATCTCCCTGGACAAGAGCGCAAAGCGCGTGAACCTTGTGGAGTTCCTTGAGCGGCAAGGGTCAAGGGCATGTTCGGGTGACGTGTTGTTTATGTTCGTGCTTGGTGTAAGTGGGGGAGAACTATTCTGTTCAACCGTTTTTCTTCTCTGGCACAATTTAAATGGGGGGAGTGTGTGAGCATATGCTCCCACAACTTCAGAGACACACCTGAACATGTTTGGTCTGAAGTTTTAGATGTGAGCTGAGAAAAGCATTCATGCAAGGCGTATGTTGTGTGTGGTAATAAAGTCATGGATGCGTGGCATTGGTGGTTCTGGGGTTGCCGCTTTCTGTGAGGGTTCGCGTCAAAGCGGGCTATCGAATTTGGCATCATATTGGTCAGGGTCGTCCTTCTCGGACATCTGCTTTTCCGAAACAGGCATGGACTACCTATGTGCAGGCTTTCTCTTGGATCCCAAACTGGTCCCAGAGAAGAATCAACAGCAGCCAGGAGAGGCTTCTTCTTTGCCTCTTAGCAACGGCGGGGGTCCAGGCTGTTGGCAACCAATGGATGATGTCAGGGAGTGCGGGGGTTGGATTTAAAGAAGGGGCGTTGTCAAACCAAACATGTGGGCATGGCTCAGAAGATTCGCTCAGCTTGGGCTGGAGGCGCCATGCAGGGCCGAGGGTCCCAGGGTGGAGCAAGCAAAGATCAAAGCCACGCAGAAAATGGGGAGTTTGGGGCACGACGGAAACATAGACAAAAACTCTGCAAATTATACCCCAAGTAAAGGATCTTGGTGAGCTCGTGTTACCCTCAGGTGAGCTCGCGATAAGTTTATGCGGATCAAATGAAACAAAGCAAAGGTTCAAAACATCGATCCGGTATGCGATTTGGGGAATGAGTCTGTGTGTTCTTTTCACTCATTCCAGACAAGCACCCAATACAAAAAGAAAAGTGGTTGGCAAAGGCTCATCCCCACATTCCCTGCAAGAGGGTTGGGCTGAAAGGCTGACCAAAAACTTGGGGCTTGCAGACGCTTTTTGGCCGAAGCCTGCATTTCAGCTCCCTGCCGGAATGTTCAATTCGGATCCGGAAGTCCAAAGAGTTCCACACAAATAGGCCACCCCCGGAACAGCCTCTAGAGCGCTAGAGGCCTCATGAAGGTTCCATACTTGAGACTTGATTTCAGGTCGCTTCTTGACTTCAGGTCGATTTTGGGGCATCCATTTGCTCGAGAATATGTGCTGAATTTGTTGATCTTTCCATGGGGCTGAAGAAAGTGGAAGAGAGTCATGCATAGAAGGGAGGTGGCAAGCGACTAAGTCAGATCCAGGACGGACTTCCGGGCCTTGATGAAGCGCCCCTGCAAGTTCTTCAAGACCAAGCGTGGCTGCAAGTCTGGGGACAAATGCAGGCGCGGGAGTGGCCCGGAAATCGATCCCGGAAATGGCGCTTTGATCATCAGGTAACCCTCACTGTGTGGTTTGGGGATTTCAGCCCCCTGGTTCTTGCAAAAGGCAAAGAAGACGGGGGGGGGAAGAAGCGAGGCGCTGGGTTGATTCCCTTTCCCTTAACGCCAAGACTTGTTTGACGGGAATCCGGGCTTTATCTTTAAACCCCTGGCTGTTGGGGGGGGCATTGATACATTTGTTTGCGGAGAAGGCCCTGCGAATTAGCATGGAACCCCAAGAAGCTCATTTGTAGAGGAAGAAGTCAGTGGATTAACAACTGGCTTCCACTCTTCTTGGAATTCCCTTCAAAATCTACCAGGAATCCCTCCGGCCCCTGCTTATTTGGGGTATGGGTTTCTCTTCAACATTTGTTCGCCCCATGGGGGAGCCGCTGAGCAAGCCGGGGTCAGGTGCTTGTTGGACTGTCAGCGAGATGGGGACCCCATCTTGTTTTGGCAAAGCTACTGCCAGGTTGATGGGCCAGAATTGGAGGTGTTTTTTTTCTTCTTCTTTTTTTGCTGGCACTGAAGCATGTCCGTTGATGCGATGACTTTGCAAGCAAATTCTGGCCCCGGGTTCGTGTTCGCAGGCCATTTTTGTTTTTTGACCCCCCCCCTCTCCTCAGTGCCATGAAGACTTAACATATCGGAAGCAGGGAGATACCGGGAATAGCATCAACTGTTCCACCCCCCTTGCCCTGACACACACACACACACACAGAGAGATACCGGATCTTTGCCCCAAAACGCAAAAAAAGGGGAATTTTCAAAACCAGACAAGCCCTCCCTTCAGTCCATGCTTAAAATTCCTCTTGGTTTCCCCATGTTGCGATCCCAGTAGGTGAACCAAATCGTGCGCCCCCGTCTTAACGTTTGGCTTGATTTTCCCATGTAGGGCAATGCAATCGCAACGGCTCCCCTCCACATCTGACAGGTTCTCTCACAACCCCTTCTCGGACTTGGATGACTTGGGCCTTGCGGCGGGCCGTCGCCTGCCGGACGCTCGCCGCAAGTGTTGCTCACCGCCTGAGTTCCTGGACTTGAGGGTCTTGGGGAAGACCGTTTTAACTTTGGACTTGTTTTGGCCCATCCACCCAGGAAGTAAGTTCACTTTTCTGGCCCAACTGCAGCAAGTCCCTTGAGTTCGCTTGCTACCTTCACAAGTGTTCAATCATTGGAGCCAACAAGTCAGATTCCAAAACTTGGCAAGGGTCGCCAGGGTTTACCAGGGGTCAATTGGAGGTAGCCGCTTCGCCAACTTCCCCATCTAAGTGTGTCGATAGTGCCAGGAAATGGCTGCTTCACAGGTGTAGCTGGGTGTGAGTTTTGTGGAACCCCCACAACCAAACAAGGTGGTTTTCGTCTTGGCTGCCTTTAAAGCCACCAAGGGCCACCAACTCCAAGAAAGCTCCACTGGCAATCCTTCAGGTAGACGAGCTGGACCGGAGATTGAACGAAGGCTTCCTCTGGTACGGATGCGCCCGGCCCAGAACGAGCGAAAGGGCGAAGAGATCCAGGGGTATGTGTCGCAGGGCCCAGAGGGTTTGTTTTCGTGCTGGCGTCCCTTTAAACGAACCCGAGCAGAGACACATTGGGCCATTTGAAAACGGGTTTCCGTCTGGCGGGGTGGTGTTTTACAAACAGACACTTCGGAACCCTGTGGACTGTTGATGTTGTTTTCTCGCGGCGGGTGTCGCCGCGCACGCTGTCGCCCTCCAAAGATGCTGCGGATATGGGGTCCATGTTGAAGTAGCCTCCCAACATTCATGGAAGCTGACAGGCAGGGTTTGGAATGATGGTTCTCCTTTTGAGGAAGACAGGAACCCACTCCAAGGGCACTGTAAGGTGCAGTTGGGTTCCGAATGGCTTCGCCCCAACGCTCATTTTTCAGGCACGGTGAGCCAAGCGAAGGCCGCTTGGCATGGGATTGAACACCTCGGAGGTGTGTTTTTTGGGTTTGCTTTGGGGGAAGAGCCACCTGGACTTTTGGGATCTGCCTTTTTTGAGGAGACCCATTTTGGAGTGGGTTAAAAGGGAAAGCAAAAGGCAACTATCCATGTGTTGGTGTCCCTTATCTCTTGAACTGACTTCAAGGACCCTACAAACTACATGCCCAAAGGCCCCACCCAAGAGGTAAGGCCCCACCAAGCAGTAAGGCCTGATTGGGCAACCATTTGTCTTGCTTGTTGGGGAGTCTTGGGTTGCTGTGGGCTGGGGGCTTTGAAGCCGCTCAAAGATCATGGCCTGTGGGCCTGAGCCAGCTCTCCGCGCAGGTCCTCTGATGTACACCCAATGGGCAATGGAAGAACATGAACCATGGCAAATGAGTCATGGGAATGCATATATGGCCATGGGTCAAAATCCAAATCGTACCCCCAGTGAACATCCGATTCAACCCCCACTAAAATAGGTTCTACAATGGGTGGTGCACCTACCCCAAAGTGGGATCCCATTGGTTTTGACCCATAGCCATATGGTGCAATATCAAGGGCGCAGGGCTACATGCTCTTAAGCCCTTAGGTGAAGAGAACAAAGCAGTCTTTGTGCTTATGTTGCCCAGGCCCCGCTTCTCTAGTGTGTTTCAGTACGGGGCGTGAGTTGACACCGTGGATGAATGCACTATGGGCAAAAGGGCAAGCCTTCCCCCATGCTTTTGCCACTCAATGCCCCTGGGTGAGCGAGACAGAATGAACGCGTGCTTAAGGGCCTAAACATTGCATTGGTCATTTGGCCTAGCTCGGTGTCCCTAGGGGCAGCAATTGACCGGGTAGATGGTCCGTATGGATCCATTTCGGGCTTGGCTGGTTCCCATGCCGCAGCATCCAGTCCAAAAGCTTGTTCGCACTTGGCTGGTTCATAGCAAAGAGGAGTTGATATGAGAAAGGGCCGAGAAGGAGAGGAGGGTTTGTGGCTCAGGGCTTGGCGAACGGCTTCAAGGCGGCGGGGACCTTCTATGAGAGCTTGGATGCCGCCCTGAAGACGACGAGGAAAGAGGACCGCCTTCGCGGGAATCAGGAGAAACATGTGTTTCCAAGTGCCAGGGTCTCATTTTTTTTGTTACCCCGAGGTGCGCTTGAAAAGCGGGGTGCTTGGTTTCTCCAAAAGGTGGGAGATGAAGTGTTCCCTGATAAAGCGGAGCC